TATCTATCTATCTATCTATCCCTGTCAGAGTCAACACACATCCACATAAACACTCACTAAACTCACACAAGAAAAGAAAAACACAGCCATCCTTGGGAAACAAATTAAAAGGATAATCATCTCTTGGTTGAAAATATTCCCTCCTCAGTGTCGGTCAAACCAGAAAGCAAAGCATATGGTTATTTCTCTGTAAATTAAAAATATAAATGCTTCTCCGCACTAGATTCCCAGACGTCTAATTACAACATTGAAAGAGAGAAACAACTGATCCATGGTGGCAGAGGTTAGAAACCCAAAGAAAAATGATATGTTACACGAAGAAATGTGCACAGAATGGTGAGAAAAGTGTGACTTGTTTGAGTGCACGCACAATTTACATACACTGTGTGCACGAATGCACTCTCTGTGTGCATAAAAACAGATAAGGAAAAATCCGTATCCAGATTTTTGTCGCACCCTTCGTCTTGCCTTGCCCACAAACAGGAGTTTCAGGATTTTAACAAAATCTGTGCATTGACATCAGCGGCTTTGCTTGTCAGACTTCTCTTGTGAAATATTACACCAATCTTACCTCATTGTCCACAATTAAAACAAGAGGATCATGTTACCCCAGCTCAGATTACATCATCTCTAAGCCCTGCACAATCAACCATCATCCCCTTGTTTGAGAATTGTAATGCTTGTACACAAATTGAACCCTCTAATCACAGTGTTTCACAGTCATTGGAACTGGTAGTTTTGAGAGAGTGAACAGAGCGGAACAAAACGATACTGCAGTGGGCAAAACTGAGTCCAAGTCTGGAAATTCCTGCAGGATTGTTTATATTCTGTAACAGCAGTGGGGAAAGGGGACAACGCTAATGTTGTAATGATGACAATAGTGGTTCTGTGTCTGTAAAACAATGTGTATGACTGGCCAGCTAGAGCCAAGATTCTTTTGATTTACGTTCTGACCTCTAAACGATCCTGAATGGCCTCACAAACAAGCAGCTCTACTCAGAACGAGAGATGATGACCCCCCTCTCCATGCGTGAATAAACAAGTGACCCACGTTGGGTCTGTGAGAGGTCACTGCACAGCGGAGTTATGGAGATGGACAGAGGAGAGGGCAGACAGACAGTGGGCCTCAGAGAGACAGAGAGAAATGGACAGAGAGAGAGGGAGAAGGAGAGATAGACGTTGTATGTTTGTTTCTCCCTGTGGCCTCTACTGCCCTAATGGACCCAGCCGCCACAGGCCAGCCACAGGGCAACTTGGGCTTCTCCTGTTTTGACTATATCAAGATTGATAGCTCCCTTCAGACTCCAAATCAGCTCTGTGTGGCTACATCTCCAGTCACATGCAGCCATGTTAAATGGTGGCTGACCTTCACCTTTATTTCAGCTTTCATCTGTCTTGTTACGCCTTGAATATATTTCAGACCCATGGATCAGGTCATGTGGTGTTTTTTTTTTTAACGTTCTGTGACATTATTCAGCGTTATTTAGGATGGATCATTCTTAGCAAGGGAAGTAATAACAGAAACAAATAAGTGGAGCCTGATTTTGATCCATCCTGACCTTGGATCAGACTGAAGCACCATGTCTAGACATCATCTCACAGCACCCAGACCTCTCTCTCTCTTTCTTTTTCTTTTTCTTTTTCTTTGTCTGTTTCTTTCACACTTGCCATCTCTTCTTTTCTCTTTCCAATTTTCGCAACTCAGATCTCACTGTGTTTTTTTGGGGTTCTTTTAACTCTGCAGCTCCCTTTTGTTTTTGATCTCTGACTCCCTAGTTTATCTCATCACTCTCTGAGTCAAGCTTAGGTGTGGTCGTCTGATGATGATGACAGTGAAAGGAGGTTGCGGTAAAATGGCTGAACCCGCAATTACCTGGCAACAGAGAGGACAGACAGATTGGAAAGAATGCTCCTAACATACCAAAGATTGAGGTTCCCCTTTTTTGCTTCTCTTTACTCATATTCACTGTCTAAAAATGCAAGTGGCTTGTTAGTCAGTACACAGCAAGGGTGCATGCATGTTTAGTGGTTCACTAATTGTGACATTGTTACAATTAAGGACCATGTCACGCTGCCCTCATTATATTGCAATTGCGTTCTTATATGTGAAACAAAGGTACACAACAATGGTTTGATAAGACCTCTTGTTTAATGAGACTTTGCTGTAACTCCTGTGTTCATTCAATTAGTAAACAGTCTTCCATTCAGGTCTGGGCACCCCAATTCTCATTTTCCCAAATGCGACACACCCCCACCCCTCAGTGCCCCAAAGCCCCCCA